GTATCTACATTTGTGTTTTTATATTTCAGGTTTCTTTTGACTTACCTCAGTGGTTCATTTTTGGCCACCGGTGAAGGACGGAGCAGCCTGTGAGAAGATGTCCAATGTAAAGGTGAGGACTTTGGGGCTTTCACAACCTGGTCATGTAATTCACTTGTTAACCGTACTGTTGGGACTTGGTCCATGTCAGAATGAGTCCATCTCTCAATTTTCTCTCCGTTTTTGTAATACAGCTGCTTTCCTTTCTTAAACCGTTCGGCATTTTTCTGAGGTCTCACAACCTCTTACTTTGCATGTATCTGTCTCTGGTATGTTTCAGTGGCTGATCATTGCCCTTTTTATATACATTAGTAAACAATAGGAAGCCTTGTGTCAGTATTTACACTAATTAAGACTGGCAGACATCTGCCCCACTGGTGTCTGCACTTGGTTAGCAGCCCTCTCCCATCACTGTCTTTCATCTCAGCTGGGGTTATGTAAACATTCTGTAATCCTACCATTGTGGTGTTGTACTGTTTGTACAGTTATTAGTTTTTTTGGCTCTTTTCTCTAAATAATTACTTGTGTCCTGAATTTTTTACATAAAGTCCAAAAATTAAGGGGGTGTAGGTCTTAAAATTGAGTTATCTCCCCTGATCTTCAGACAATATGTTATTTTTGTTTATATTTCTGAGTAGTACAGTAACTGTACTTTAATGGAAACTCAAAACCATAAGTCTTAAGTATAATGTTTATTAAGATATTTAAATTTATATTTTGAAATTGATTCAATTTTCCTGTCTTTTCTTGCAGGAATCTCCAATCATAACAATGTTACAATCTCATATGATAATATGATAATACATGTAAAGCAATAACTGATGCTATATTTTAAGGTTTGCGGGATGCCTGCCAGTTATCAAAATGCTGGTAGACCATGGTTTGCTCTAACCATGAAACTTAGGGCCACCTCTTCCTCTTTGAAGAGCAATGGCATGTCTCGTGGTCAGGGCCTTTCCATCCGCAAAAATGGAGATCACCGTCCAGATCCAAAAAGTAATGGGATTAAAATAGATACTTATTGCACTTTAATGAAATGTTAATTCTAGAGAAACGTTGCTCAAAATACATTGTAAATGTTTCATGTTTGAAAATGTCTGTGGTCTTGAAAACATTCCCTTACAAAATAGTTGGGTTTTTTTCAGACTTTTTCGCTGGATTCTATCGCAAAAACAGCCTCTCCATACCAGATTTGAAGGATTTCAACAAACCTGTCAATGAGGGAGTGAGCTATGCCCCCAAGAAGTTGACTCTTAAATTGTGAAATCCAAAATACTGTGATTATAGAGACATTTTTGGCCCTTAATTACCAAAATAATATGTGGACGTTTTTTTATTTGGCAGTTGTGATAGAAACTTTACATAAACCTACGTGTGTCCAATTAGTGTGAATAACTCCATTGTTGTTTTTTGAAGGCAGCTCCTGCCAATTCCTCAATATTGTATTGATTAATGTTTATGCTAATTGTATTGATTGTATAAAATTGTATATCTATGTACGACTGTAAAGTGCTTTAGAGTGGCTTATGTAAGGTAGATAAGGCACTATATCAAATGTATCAAACCGGAACAAATTTTAGGTACAAGTGTATGTATTACAATCCTATGAAACACTTGGTGATTGGCCGATTTAGTTGTGCAACTCCTAAAAGGGTATACATTTTCTTTACATTTTTAGCGAAGGGCAAATGAGCATATGCCATGGCACAGTGTCCGTCGTCCGTCTTGAACTTTTCCTTCAAAAGCTTCTTATCCTGAACAGCTCAGTGTATTTTAACTAAATTTGGTCTGGAGCAACCTTTGGCCAAGGGGACTCAAGTTTGTATTAACAGTGGATGTGGATTTTGACATTTGAAGTTTTTTCTCGCTATATATGTATGCATAAGTACATACAGTATCTATCATGGAGTGTTATATCTTTACCTCATATCAGGTACTTTAAACACATCTAGGTGAGCGATACAGGCCCTCTGGCCCTCTTGTTAGTATACCAAATCAAGTTGTAACTTTACTGTATCTTTTTACTAGAACTGTTTCAGTATACTTTGTGTACTTTTTAAGTACCTAAATAAAGGGGCCAAATGTAACTTGTATGTACCTTTTTGTTTGTCAATACTTTTTTGTAACTTTTAAGTACTAGATTGAAACACTCTTTGAAACACTCTTTCTCACAAGGTTCCAATCCAACATCAAAAGTACTTTTTATGCGCCCGTCGTCCGTATTATGGTATGGGCTGCGTTGACCGACTGATGTCCGTCCGCCCATTTGTAAACTTTTCCTTTTCAATACTCTCCTGCCTCCTGGGAAACATATTGCGAGTTCGCATTTAAGAAGTCTATGTGCATTTTTGATGGAGTTATGCCCCTTTTATCGCCTAATAAAGGTATTGTGTAGTAAATGCAAGAACTTTTTTAATTTTTAATCAATTCTTTTCAAATTTTGTACCGTAATGCTAGAAGCAATAATGTTCAACACATATTCAGGGTCTTTCTGTTGAGTTTAAACTTTCTGCATTTTGGCATATATCACACTTGACATAGCAACGCTGTTCATCTTTTTTGCCGTTAATTTTTGCTCGTTTAGTGGGATGTTTCATTTCCAATGAAAGCATTTAAATATCACGATTTAAGAACTCGTCCAATGCAATGTGGCAGAGTTTTTTTCTCTTTTTCATTTTGGGGCTCTATGCTCCTTTCATTGCCAAATAAGGGCTTTGTGAAGTAAATGCTCAAAAGCTCATCTGTACAGCTGAGGTACAACTTGGCCCTTAAGAATATCAATTCAAGGTCATGGATTTGAAACTTCGTCTGTATAAGCCCTTTGATTATGAAGTAGTATTTATAGTGGATAAAGAAACAAGATGTTTTCCACATTTCCAAATAAATATAAATAAATATTTGTCTTAAGGAAGGAAGTGACAACACATTTAGACGATACACTAATTTAAAAATATAAACAAGCCGATTTCTCCCTTCGTGGTTGCTAAGTCAATAATTAGGTCGATAGGTAATTAAATAAAAATATTTTGTATTGGTACATATATACATATCTAAGCTTACTTTAACCCCAGTTTAGAACTTTGTGAATTTCTATCCTACATTGTTGTTGACATTGGGATAGCAGTACCATTGCTATGGAATGAAAGATGGATGTAACTTCATATTATAGTATGATGCTAGAATCCGTTAATAATTTTTTTCTTGTAAAAGCCAACACTGTTGTTTCCATTGTATTATAACTAGGCAATATTGGTCTGGTAAAAAAATGGTTGCCATGGTCAGAAGTTGGTTGCTATGGAAAAATATAATATTGAATGTAGGATATTGTCAATTCATTGTACACGTTTGCAATCAACTTATAATTGATAAATTTTAAAACTATTTTCTTTCCAAAATGTTAACCAAACCTCACTAAAAGGGGAAAAACCTACCGCAAATTATAGGTGGGTTGCTAGGCAATGCTGTCGGAATTCTTTGAAACTGCACTTTTTGTAAATGTTAAATGTTGATATGGTATTTAAAAATTAAAGAAATCCAAGGTGGGGCCGAAAATGGCCCTTAGTGCACCTACCTCTTTAGTCGAAATCTACTTGGCCATTCAGGACTACAGGGTAGTAGCGTTTTTAAGGGGAAAGTTGACTGATGACGACAGACACTGCGGTATGGCTTAAGCTCACCATGGTCCTTCGGACCAGCTGGGCGAGCTAAAAATGAAGATTACCTCCCTTTGCTAACTATGGTAGAATTGAAACTACCAAAGTACTATATTCTGCAGATCCTCTTTGATTTCCGAGAGAAACTTTAAACATACTTATTTAGGAAGTAATACATTTCTTCATGTACATATGTAATAGCACATATCTTTGGACCCTCTCCAACTCATATCCGCCAGGTTCAACATTAATATAATTCTAATTTTGTATTACATAATATATAATTTATTATTGTTTCTTGTTTTAAGTATGTTTACAGTTGCTTCCTTGCTGTTAAAAGTTCTACATCACAACAAAGACAAATAAATAAGGTTTCTCAGATTTATTAAGGAGCATATAAGGTGTCTCATAACACCAAATAATTAATTAGTAGTAAACTCTGAACTGTTCATATCAATTTTCCTGTTGTTCAATCCATTTGATCAATCAATAAAATTTATTGAAACAGAAAAACAATGATGCATTTCCGGACATTAATTAACATTAAGGTTAAGAAAAACACAAAAATATAATTGAACAATTCTTTTTCATGGAGATGGGGGCAAGGTATATAAATATATTGCATGTACAATCTAAGAAAACATTTCAGCATTAATATGGAATAGAAATGCTTGAATATCTTTTTGTTATTCTCCCAATTTTCTTTTGTCCTTGTTTAGGCATTGAAAGTATGAAAATATTTAACTTATATCAACCATTTTTGATGGTTGCACACAGGGAGGTTTTAATGTGGGAGGAAACCCACGTGGTTGGGGCGGATGACCACATATATCTTTCAACCTTGGTGAAAGGGGAGTGCGCTGACCACCCAAGTCATTACTGTATATTATTGATTATCTGTCTGCATGGAAACTTATAAATTGCATTAACCTGTGTAAACCAGACCTTTAACTTGGTCTGTTACATTTATCTAACTTGGTTTGTGTTTTACATCCTATTAACAGCTAGGATCAGTTATGGATGGGCAATGTTTGGTGGTGGAGAAAACAGGAGTATCTGTTGTTTCTTATCGAGGTCATTGCATGATTAATATGACCTTTGTAAGATAAAGCTGGAGAAAAAATAACAAAAAACTCCATAGAGTAAAAAAAATCACACAAATTTCCAAAACTTTGTTACATTGATATGATATCACACACCTGGAAATATTTTACCATTTCAGTTATGCCTAAAGTGGCATACAAATATATATAGGGTATTAAATGAGTTTTCATTTCATATGAGATTTTATGAAACAAGTCTTGGGAGTTTCGAGAAAAGTTTCATAAAAGCTCGTATGAAATGAAAACAATGTTATCACATAACTCAGAAAACTTACAAGTAGTTCTTTTCAAAAGATAACCTAAAGTTTACTTTAATCTCTGTTGATTGGGTTTGACACCCAATCAACAGAGATAGCCCTTTATCAAATGAACAACATTTTGATACGATCATAATAAAAAAACCACATAATTTTGTAATTTTAGGATCAAATGTCTTTAGGTCACTTATTCATGGTGAACAGCTCCATATATCAATTGAAACATTTCTTCGTCCCAGGTTACAGGTTCAAATTTACAGATATTTTTCAGCAGCCTGCTTGTGCACAAGTGAAGATTTTGTAGATACCGGGAATACAGGATACACAGAGTTTTCATGTTCTGTAAAAGTAAAATAAGAATGATTGTAGAAATCAGTGTTAAATATTAGCAGAGGATAAGTGTTTTTTTTTATTTCACTCCATTATAAAGAGCGAGTTCACTAATATATCCTAATCACAACAAAAATTCATAATTTGTAAGTGATTACACTACTTACAGGTAAAATTCTTTACTATCTATCTCATTCTTAGTTTTTTTAAGAAACGTTAAAACTTATGGTTCTGTGAAAAATTGACATACTGTTGTACATGCAAGAAATTTGTATTGTTTGCAATGCCTTGTTGAAACAAGATTCTATAAACCTTACCAAAACACTAGACTTGCAATATCCAATCCGATTTGGAGGAAATTCGTTCCTGAACTTTAACGGTATGTAGCTCAGTTTGAAGGGCGACAGGTTTTAGATCAATCAGGCCTATTGCATGTTTTTCCATCCAGTGAAATGATGTACATTCCACCCACAGTGTTGCAATGGCATCCAGACTATCAACAGTTCTGCATCCAACTAGCTCCTGTCTGAAAAATATCAAAAGCCAAATATAATTTTGACATTTAATTGTTACTTTGAAACATTTCTGTTGAACAAGTATATTGCTATTAACAAGGGTTTCCTTTAACCTTAACCAGGAGGAATATCAGGTATATCAGAATATCTAAAAGTTAGCAGATTTTTACTCGGTGACATAAGATAAGGTTGTTAAAATGCTTTGACCCGATAAACATAAAACCTACAACACTTGTGATTAGAGAGCTTAGGACTGTGATAGTAATGCAATAACACAATACCTGTTTTGTAAGGAATTGTTGCTGTCAACACTGGAACTAGACTCTGGTATGAGATTCTTTCTGTAGTAACTGAGAGTTCTATTCCTTTATCCATCATGAATGGTTGCCATAACCTCTGTGGTCTGTCTTGGATTGATGCCCTTAGATCTATCATTACTTGTAGTTCGAATTCTCTAGTCGTGGCCTGGGTTGTGGTTCCATCTGCTGTGGACTTTTGTCTGTGGTGGTCCTATTCATAGTGCTCTGCTGAATGTTGTGTTTTCGTCTTCAGTGGCCGGTTTTGTTGGTAGTTTCACCTAATTCTTTTATCGTTTGTGATTTTTTCTTATATTATTTCAGATCCGTTATGGGTTGTCATAAGTTGTGGTTCTGTCTGCCGTTGTCTGTTGCTGGTAGTTGCACCATACTCTGTGGCTCTATCACTTGGGGTCCTTTGTTTTGGTTCAATCTTCTGAGGTCTTGTTTCAAAAGCCGTTTTCCATTAATTTTGATTTCCATGTTGTCTGTTGTGTTTTGTTATTTCAGCGATGGCATTTGTAGAGTCATCTTCTGGTCTGTATTTGGTGCTTGTTCCATACTATTTAGTCTGTCCTGCGTCGTCATATGCTTTAGTCTGTCTTATATATGGTTCCATCTTCTGATTGCTTTCTGTCATCGTTGTTGCTTCCATCTTTTCCGGCCCTTTTAGTATTGCTGTCCCCTCCTCTGGTCTGATGCTAGTGGTTATACCATACTTTGGTCTGTCATTAGTGGTCTTGTGCTCTGGTCCGTTTTGTTTCATTATTTCAGCCGTTATTCGTCAGATTTGGTTCCATATATATTCTGGTCTGTCATTTGGTGTTTGTTCGATACTCTTGGTTCCGTCATTGGTGGTTTTTCCATACTCCTTGATCTGTCATTGGTGGTTGTTTGATACTCTTTGATCTGTCATTGGTGGTTGTTCCATACTCTTTGGTTGGTCATTTATTGTTGTTCCATACTCTTTGGTCGGTCGTTGGTGGTTATTCCATACTCTTTGGTCGGTCGTTGGTGGTTGTTCATACTCTTTGGTCGGTCGTTGGTGGTTGTTTGATACTCTTTGGTGGGTCATTCGTGGGTGTTCCATACCCTTTGGTTGGTAAGTCATGATTGTTTAATACTCTGATCCTTCATTGGTGGTTGTTCCATACTCCTGGATCTGTCATTGGTGTTTTTTTGATACTCTTTGATCTGTTATTTGCGGTTATTCCATACTCTTGGGTCGGTCATTCGTGGTTGTTCCATACTCTTTGGTCGGTCTTTGGTGGTTGTTACATACTCTTTGATCTGTCATATGTGGTTGTTCCATACTCTTTGGTCGGTCATTGGTGGTTATTAAATACTCTTTAATCCGTCATTGGTGGTTATTTCATACTCTTTGATCTGTCATGTGTGGTTGTTCCTTACTCTTTGGTCGGTCATTGGTAGGTGTTTCATACTCTTTAATTTGTCATTGTTGGTTGTTTCGTACTCTTTGGTGGTTGTTCCATACTGTTTGATCTGTCATTGGTGGTTGTTCCATACTATTTGGTCGATCATTGGTGGTTACTCTATACTCTTTTGTCGGTCACTGGTGGTTGTTACAGTCATACTCTTTGGTTGGTCATTGGTGGTTGTTCCATACTCTTCGATCCGTCATTGGTGGGAGTTCCATACTCTTTGGTCTGTCATTGGTGGTTGTTCCATACTTTTTGGTCGGTCTTTGGTGGTTGTTCCATACTGTTTGATCTGTCATTGGTGGTTGTTTCATACTCTTTGATCTGTCATTGGTGGTTGTTCCATACTCTAAGGTCGGTCATTCGTGGTTGTTCCATACTGTTTGATCTGTCATTGGTGGGTGTTCCATACTCTTTGGTCGGTGATAGGTGGTTGTTCCATACTCTTTGATCAGTCATTGGTGGTTGTTCCATACTCTTTGGTCCGTCATTGGTGGGTGTTCCATACTCTTTGGTCGGTGATAGGTGGTTGTTCCATACTCTTTGATCAGTCATTGGTGGTTGTTCCATACTCTTTGGTCCGTCATTGGTGGGTGTTCCATACTCTTTGGTCGGTGATAGGTGGTTGTTCCATACTCTTTGATCAGTCATTGGTGGTTGTTCCATACTCTTTGGTCCGTCATTGGTGGGTGTTCCATACTCTTTGGTCGGTGATAGGTGGTTGTTCCATACTCTTTGATCAGTCATTGGTGGTTGTTCCATACTCTTTGGTCCGTCATTGGTGGGTGTTCCATACTCTTTGATCTGTCAAATGTGGTTGTTCCTTACTCTTTGGTCAGTCATTGGTGGTTGCGTCATACTCTTTGGTCGGTCATTCGTGGTTGTTCCATAGTCTTTGGTCAGTCATTGTTGGTTGCGTCATACTCTGATTTGTCATTGGTGTTTGTTCCATACCGTTTGATCTGTCATTGGTGGTTGTTCCATACTCTTTGGTCGGTCATTGGTGGTTGTTCCATACTCTTTGATCCGTCATTGGTGGTTGTTCAATACTCTTTATTCCGTCATTGGTGGTTGTTTCATACTCTTTGATCTGTCATTGGTGGTTGTTCCATACTCTAAGGTCGGTCATTCGTGGTTTTTCCATACTCTTTGATCTGTCATGTGTGGTTGTTCCATACTGTTTGATCTGTCATTGGTGGTTGTTCCATACTGTTTGATCTGTCATTGGTGGTTGTTCCATACTCTTTGGTCGGTCATAGGTGGTTGTTCCATACTCTTTGATCAGTCATTGGTGGTTGTTCCATACTGTTTGATCTGTAATTGGTGGTTGTTCCATACTCTTTGGTCGGTCATTGGTGGTTGTTTAATACTCTTTGGTCTGTCATTGGTGGTTGTTCCATACTCTTTGGTCCGTCATTGGTGGGTGTTCAATACTTTGATCCGTCATTGATGGTTGTTTCATACTCTTTGGTCAGTCATTGGTAGGTGTTTCATACTCTTTGGTCAGTCATTGTTGGTTGCGTCATACTCTTTGGTCGGTCATTGGTGGTTGTTCAATACTTTTTGGACCGTCACTGGTATTCCTGTACTCTGGTCCGTTTTGTTTCATTATTTCATCTGTGATTCATCAGATTTTGGTTCCATCCTCTGATCTGTTATTGGAGATTGTTCCATAACTTTGGTCGGTCATTGGTGGTTGTTCCATCATTTTTTATTTGTAATGGGTGGTTGTTCAATACTTTTCTGTCTGTCCTACGTGGTCATGTGTACAGCATTTCTGTATCTTATTAGCTCCAGTGGGAAAATATTAAATATATAACATTATTTATTTTGCTAGTTACATGCAATTGGATGAATATATACAGAAACACTGTACTTTTGTTGTACCCGTATTTGAGCCTAAACCAGGACACACATCAGATATAACCAGATATATAAGGTGGTCCTTGTGCTTTCCATGTTGTCTGTCGTCGTTGGTGTTTCCATCTTTTGTTGTTCCCTCCGATCATCTTGTACTAGTATTATGTGAATTGATGCAGTTTGTCGAGTTTGGTCCCATACTCTTAGTCTGTCATTATGTATCGAGGTATCTCTGCTCCGTCCCTGCTCTAGGACTGCTACTCCATACTCTTTGGTCGGTCAAATCTGACAGAGTGTAATGATTTTGAAAAATTTGCTATGGTATCGTTTTACCAAACCCCTTTTTGGTAAAATCGGCGATACTTTACCGCCGCGATAAAAACCGCGATACCTTCAGTCTTTCGTCATCAGGCCGCGTACTGTTAAATACAAAGCACCATTGCTTGTAATGACAGTAAATCTGTTGTAGCAGAAGGACAGGCAATGGTCAGAAATAAGAATCAAAGTTGGCGTATCCAAACACTATGCCTCTCCTGTCAATCAAATTATAAACGCTGTTGATCTATCAAGTCCATTCGTCCCACATTCAACCTTTTTTTTTACATGTTTTCAAACAAAGTAAATCCAAACAAAATTACA